TGAAACCCTACACCCTAAACTCTAAACCCTAAACCCTAAACCCTAAACCCTAAACCCTAAACCCTAAACTCTAAACCCTAAACCCTAAACTCTAAACTCTAAACCCTAAACTCTAAACTCTAAACCCCAAATCTGGAACGAATGACTGGGTTTGCAGTTTCGGGCTCTGCGGCTGTAGAGGGTTTAGGGTTTAGGGCTCAGGGTTCAGGGTTTAGGGTTTAGGGTTTAGGGTTTAGGGTTTAGGGTTTAGGGCTCAGGGTTCAGGGTTTAGGGTTTATGGGTTTAGAGGAACTGAAAAGAGCTACTACACTTACTACACTGTTTTCACGACGAATCCTAAACGGTTTTTGAACAAGATACCCGATCGTGATGCACATGCTGTGCTAGACACTGAATCGCCCGTTGAACCCTTCTGAAAAACAGAGTCGCTACGCAAAACCAACGAGGGAAGAAACCCCCCATGGCCTACGGAGCTTCCAAAAAAAAACGCTTCGCACTGTGAACATCCCCAAAAAAAAAGCAGTTGGTGGGATGCTCCGCAGGGTAGTCCAAAACAATAATAATGTAGGTAGGTCCCTAAATTAGGGTCTTTGTTGAGTAACTCCATCAGCCCACGATCTCAGGCAGGCCCCCGCCGCCGTTCCGCACTATACGATGGCTGCAAGAGGGCCTTAATGCTGAGACTATAGCTTTTGGGTATGTTAAGACAAATAGGGACGATAAGGGGATGGTCTTTACTGATAATGCTGACATATATATATATATATATATATATATACATACACACACACACATGTTGTTTTGACCGGGGATTTGGCTCCAAATATCTAAGAATCTATAATTATAAAGTCCCGAAATCTCGACTTGACGATGCGAAGCCCAAGATGAAATCCGAACACCGCAAATCCTATCCACAAACGCCACCCCCGAGCAAACCCCTAACACCCTAAACAAAATCCTGAGCCCTAAACCCCAAACCCCAAAGGCAACCCAAACGCCACAAAAACTCGAAAGTAAAGCCCTAAGCCAGGTTTCAAAGCCTTCCGCAAGCTGCGAGGCCAACCGGAAAAGCTCCTTTTGCATAGGGTCGGTCTTTCAGAACTTCGGGTATTTCCGGTAAGTAGGTCTCTTTAGGGGCTCAAGGTTTTGGAAAATCGGTCTTGAAAAAATTTTTGGAGCCTCTATTGCTTGAAAGGCTTTGGGGCTGAAGGGTTTTCAGGGCGTGGGGTTCAGGTTTCAAGGTGAAGGGTGTAAACTAGTAAAGAGCTCAGGCTCTATAGGGTTTGCAGGGCTTGGGATTGGGGGTGTCAGCTTGTCTGTCAGTGTTTGCGATGTCAGACTCTTGTGGATTTGTGTGTGTTGTTTGTGTCTGATTCTGGAGGGGGGAGGGGCGCCGCCGTTGGGGTCCAGGGTTGAATGTTTAATGATTCGGTTTTAGAGGTCAGGGTTCAGGTCTTCTTCGGGGTGCAAGGTGCGTCTTTCCCGGCCTAGGATATTACATGCAGAAAGGATTAACAACCCATCAAGCCTAGTTTCAAAACCTGCAACCCTAAATCGCCAAACACCCTAAGCTGAGTCCTAAACACCAAGGCCCTGCCGTTCCCCGGAATGGTCGCCAAGCCCCGAACCTCGACTCAACAACAATGCTGCTACGACGAGTGACAAAAACCCCAAATCAATCATACGAATAGTAACCTAGGGGTAAAAAGAGAAAGCAAGAATAAGTTCAATCATGAACGTAAAACCTCCTCAAAGCTCAAGTTCGGTCCTCCTGGGTTGCACCACTGAACATGGCGCTGACTGCCTTCGGCGAAAACACTGTTTAGCCTTTGCTACAGGTTTACGGATTTAGGTTTGAATGTTCAACGCACAAAAAACCAATTTTTCGCCAGCATGGATTGGTGTCTGGTTGTGGGTCCTCGCGGCTGCGCCGGCCGCTCGACGACAGAAAGACAAAAGACAAGTTTCCGACATGCAGCATGCTCTTCGCGCGATGTAACGGCGGCCGGACGTGGTTCTGTTGTGAGCGTGTTGTCAAAGAAACTGCAAGAAGACTGCATTGTTGATTGGAGGGGTAAAGGTTCGTCCCATGTTGGAGACCCCTTGGCCGGGTTCGCAGTAGTTGCGGGATTTGGGGTCGTCATTCTAAGTGGCTCCCGCCCGTAATCACCGAAACATGACCGGAGGCTTTATCTGACGCCCCAATTAAACCCCAAACCCCAAACCCGGAGCCCTAAAACCATTCTGCTGAGACGCTCGGAAGGGGCTAGGGTGCGGGGGTAGAGTTTGCATCCCGATTCACTTTCTCTTGAAGGATAGCCCTTTGCGCATCTGCAAATGGCCCCGACGGAACTATCTCGGAAAAGTTCGGGCAAGGGAGGACGGGCGGGACGGGCTGGTTTGGGGTTTAGGCCTTCAGGCTGAACCCAAAGACATCCTAGCAAACCCCGAAATCCAACCTTGAAGCCGTAAAACCCAGAAGTCCAAAAACTGAAACACTCCCAAAACCCCAAGCCGTAGACAATTAGACAGACAGAACATAGATTAACAATACTCAGCATCATCATCACGAGCACCATCATCATTATTATCATGGCAACAGTGGTATGCAAAATCATATTGACGTGTTCATAAGCAGAACAGGAATACTGAAAAGAAAAGCATGAACAACATGCACGATAATGAGAAAACACTAGCCCCAGAACTAATGATAACAATAACAAAATGAAGCACCGCCTCATTTTCGGGGCCTCAGCAGTATAGATACGGTATTGGGGATTATCATAGTATATGCAGTGTAAGTATATGGGAACTAAAGGGTGGTACTCTTACTAATTATTCAAGTCCCCGCTGTAATCATCATCGCTGTACTAGTATTATATATCTAGTAGTGATAGCAGTAAACGTTATTATGATAGCCATCCTACAAATACCAGTAAGAAGAATATACACATATATACATATATGTATGTATGTATGTATGTATGTATGTATGTATGTATGTATGTATGTATGTGTGTGTGTATATATATATATAGCCAACAGCCACGGGTGTGCTAGAGCGACACCGGTGCTGATGCGTCGGCCCGGCTTCCTCTGCAACATGTGTTGCAGGAGCTGCACCGCCTGCTTGGACAGCTTGGCATTCAGCCGCCAAACAATTGGCTCTCGGAGTATCTTGTGCTCCAGTTCAGATGGGTCCAGTTTTCCGAACCATGGCAAACGGCCATGAAGGGCCTCATAGATCACGATGCCCAGGCTCCACATGTCTGCGCGTATGCTGTAGCACCCGTTGATCATCTCAGGTGCACAATACCCTCTAGCACCGGCTCTCTGATGGAGACGGGTGCTAGGGGATGGCAGCCCCATCGCGGTTCCAAAGTCCCCAAGCTTGCAATAGCATGGATCCTGCTTGCGCGCAGGGTCAAAGTACCGCATGACGAAGATGTTGGCAGGCTTTAGGTCGCGGTGCACGACCACCAACTAGCATCTGCTCCGTCATTGTGGCCGCGCTGTCTTCACCCAAGCGGGTGTGATAGAAGAGGATGCTCCCCAGGTCCGTGTCGGCAAGCTCGGTGACAAGGTGTTGCCGACCGTTGATAGCGTACAAGCCCAGACACTCCACAATATTGGGACGCCGGCACATTTGCAACATGCCCGCCTCGAACGTCAAAGTCGCACTCTCGCCCTTGCTATATTGGTATGATTACGGTAGTACAAATATGGCGACTGCGAGTAACCAACCCTAGACCCCTGAACCCTAAAACCCTA